AAGGCCTTCCAATTCAAGCCATATCAGATCTCTTGCCCGCTTCGATCCATTTTCTGCATTCCCTGCTCTGGGATGTTTGCCCCCTCGGGTGATGCTTTGGATGCAACGCTGAATGGGGGTGCATAAGTCAGAAGAACCCGTGTTCACTTGACTTGCACAAGAACCCCCCGAAGCGCCTCGATGATGCCCAGGGGAAAAAGCAGCCAGCCTGACCTGCCAAAAAAGAGAAGTATGGATCCCTTTTTCGGGCGACACAGCTTGTGTAAGGGCTTTCTAGAGTTCGTATGTGGGCACAGGGACTGTAGCAAGGTGTTGTGAGTTCTCACCGTCCTTCTAAGTGCGGGCATTGTATTCTTGGGGGCATATACCAGGTCTTAAGCTACTCTTGATTTGCCTGTCTTGTGGCTTGAGTCCTTCTTATCACAATAATAAGATACCATAAGCACAAGAGGCCAAGCACGTGGGATAACTCGCGTCTTACGCTGTGTGATATCTCCTCTTGTATTTTTGATCCAGCATAGATGCCAACAGCTCGCGCATTGGATTCTCCAGGCTATTCTTGCTGCATCAGAATATGCATGGCAGGAGTCGCGAATAGCACAAATAGTGTTCGAACTATCCTGCCCCCCTCCCTGCCTGTGCTCTGCGCACCATGGCGGTGGTTCTGCTTGAGCAGCATGTTCCTGGCATCCATTTGTTTTCAAGGTCTACGGTACAGCCCAGCACAAAGTTGGGGAAGGCACACGACCTGCGCTCGAAAACCGTGCTGCTTGCCATTTGGTCAACAAAAACCGACAGCCGTTATCGAGCAACGAGGACAATAATTCTAGAGGTTGCACTGAGCTCTGCCAGCAGCTCCCCTGCATGCCCTGCCTGAAGTCGATCACTCCAAGACTCCTGCGGTATTTTGGTGTCAGAGGTTCGGTCCGAAAGGACTGCAACGCAGTACGGTACCATCCAAAATCAGGTGAAGCCAGCCCAGCCGTAGTCCAACAACATGCTTTTTGTCAACATCCAATCCCTACTGGCGGCTTCATTCGCGCACATGCTCGGCAATATGGCCTATGCGGTGCGGCCGCGTCGTACAGTCGCAGCAAGCCTCGCGCCGGGCAGAGGTCTAGGGGACCGGCGGATACAGTAGTCGAAGCATGTAGATTTCTGCCACTTTACAGGAACAGGCTTGGTGCAAACACTCCAGTGTCACATGCTGCAGCCGTGGAGCTTTCGTTGGTAGCCACTGTTGCTACCTGCAAGTTTCCATTGCGGCTGTCTTCGCCATGGAAAGCTAGCGCATGGAAATCTGATGGCGTGGCATGCCCAGCCATACGTGACGTCGTGACTACACTTTCAGGCGCGGGCGCCTGTGCGTCAAGATTGCGTTAATGAAGACCCCCCACTGAGGATGGTGCCACTTCACCCCCAGCAGCATAGAGGGAGCGGCGGTAGTTAATGGAACCTGTGAAGCGATGTCAGCAAGGCTTACCTATCCAGTCTGAGTTTTCCAGGAATCAGGAAAAGTTGCCTCGAGTTGAAGCACCGCCTATCCTGTGCACCAGCCCCTGCTTGAAGTCCTGTAATTGCCGTGAACAGCATCGCTTCTTTCGCTCCAGGTCCCTGGTCCAAATGCGGCGAGGTACTTCCGAGGGCCGGCACTGGGAACTTGGAGCCTGGCTTTGATCGGGCTTGGATTCGGCAAGTGTTTCTACGTAAAACAGGCCAAAATCCCCTGGCCCTAGAGCATGCGTGTCACTGTCCCCCTTGCTCACATGCGCTGGCGTCCTAGAAGCTCATCGTGAGGGTCTTCTTAATCTTATTCTTCACAGCAGTAGAAGTAGAAATCCTTGTACTGGTGTTCCAAAAAGTGAAAATAGTAGTGGCAGTATTTGTCGCAGTAGCAGAAGTAGTAGTAGCAGCAGTAGTAGTAGAAGTAGTAGTAGTAGTAGCAGCAGCAGCGGTGGTGGTGGTGGTGGTGGTAGCAGTAGTGGTAGTAGTAGTGGTGGTGTCCTGACATAGAATCAATAGCAACAGCTGCAGCAGTTGTGAAATGAGAATTCAATTGCTCGGTACCTGCAACCTGCAAATGCTATGAGAAGTGCCAGGGTTGGTGTTGCCCTGTGGTCCAACTTGGCCACCTTGTCCACGCTCTCGCAAATCGAACTGTCGTAGCGCCTGACGCAGAAGTCTCTTCATGGGACCATCCTGAAAACAGTGATCTCTGTTCCTTACTGACATTGTAGGAGCGTCCACATTATCAATCATACTTGCGCTCTCTTGCATCTAGCCGTTCTCATGCATTTCTATGGGAAGCTGTTTCTGGTCGCATCTGGCCTTTCCTGCAATCCGTTCCCTTAACGCCAACAATACAAAAACCTAACGAGTTGGAGTCTTCACTTAGCCTCCCTGGCTGCCACAAGCTTCGGCACGACAAAAAGGCGCAACATGTCGGCACACTTGTGGCATACTGCAAACATCCCAGCGTCTCATTGCCTCGTCGACGCCGGACACCAAAAGCCGAGAGTCATCAGGCGAGAAGCAGCACCTCAACTAACGATGTATTGCCCGCAGAATAGTGCGCATGAGAACCTCAAGCTCATCGAAGCCAACAGATGCATTCGGATACAATGTGAAACATATCTCTTACAACTACTGCCTGACTTCTCTCACTGCTGGCACAAGGCATCATGCATCCACACAAGTAGAAGTAGGTAAGAGATGCTGTGCCACGCTGGACATCCACAAGTTGTAAGTCCCAGGCATGACCTTGGCTGCAACTTGGACTCGCTCTCGTTTGAATCACTCGTAAGAGGGGACACATGTGCCAACGCCAAAGATTGTGGACAATATTTCCTCAATGAATGCGGAATGGCAAGATTGCAGTATATACTCAGGCTGCTCGTCTCCAACCGGGCTGTGGGCTGACCTAGTTGCGACTGCTTCCTAGACTGGTGCTAGGCTACTGGTCTCGCTACTGCCGCTATTGCCACTACACCACTCATGTTGTAAGTTTAATTCCCCACATCTTTATGCTGGGAGGTATAGATACGTTTGCAGGTTCAGTACTTCTGAGGGCCGGTAGACCTTGTCCAGCTATAGATCTAGGGTGGGCGAACTTGCTCGTCGTCATAGGGACGCCAGATGTTGTCAACGAATGGGAAAGGAGTTTAAGCATGAGTAAACAGTGTTTGAGTGCGCAGCATAATTGAAGATGCTGGCCTGATCTGTTCCATTTGTTTGGCAGTTCCGGGTCAGTGTAAGGTAAACATATTGTGGAACACGTAGGCATGGACTCGCGAAGCGAACGGTGCCAGCATGTCGAACCATGTGCGCCAGTTTCGGTGGAGACGTCTGCAGGCGAATCCCTGCACAACTTTAATCCCTGCACAACTTTGGGCTCCTTCTGCGCCACAGCCCAAGCAGAAAGTTTCGCAGAACGAGCTCTGCAAAGTAAGAGCTTTGCCACAGCGAAAGCTCACTTCTGCCTTTCAATTACAGTATGACCCCTTCCAGGACTTCAGCACTTCTAATTACTGCGCAAATTCTTAGAAATGCAAATGTTACCCGAAGTAAAACTGCCTGGCGCCAAATACACGTCCACTACAGCCGCTGTTATCTATCGTGTTGCTGCGTGTCCACACCCCCCGACACGAGTTGCATCCGTGTGCGTCCGCCCGGAGTCTGTCTGCCCACGCTCACCACATCCCACGCCCCACTCCTCGCCAAAGACCACTTTTGCGGCTTTGGAGTGTCTGGCGTATGGGTAGTGACCATGGCCCTGGAAGACTACCTTAGTCGCGGCCGTAGACTACTTGTAGTGGCTTTGGGACTTCGAACCTATCATTTTTGCTTTGAGCCAGCGCGTGTGCAAAATGGTTAATTTCCAGCCCTCCGCGGGCTTGAGGAATTTTTCTGTGGGGGCTCACAAGCAGGTCCCCTTTCTGTCCCAAATGTTCGTTATCGGGCTGAGAATGGGTGATTTGGGTGAAGTGTTGCCAGTTAGCCTGAACTTGAGGATTTCGGAGTTGCCGTAGGCGGAGCAGATGTTCTGGACTATGCACGAGGAATTGCGACAAACGAACTCATGCACGTTCACTGGTCTCTGGAGAACTAAACGCAAACAAGAAGGGCGCTCCTTGCGGAAAGCCTGAGGATTTTCAACTAACGAGGGTTGGAACACCAGGATTGTCAGTTGTTTGGCTCAAGCAACAAAACAGCCAAATCCCCATTTTCGAACGGAGAAATGGGGTTTGGGAGAACCACCCAAACCCCTGTTCTTGAGCCGGCTTTTGGCTTTGGAAGCGCGCTTTGGGGCCTGGCGTTTGGCTGAGAGGTGGGCTTCTTTTTTTTGCGGCGAGAAGGATGATCGGCTTACCCCTCAACGCTGGTTAGGACGGTTTGTTTTGCTTGGAGGTGCTCTTGGGGTGGGGCGTTTGGCTTAGATGGGCGCTGGGCGTTTGGCTTCTGTGGGGTGCGATGTTGGCTTAGAGGTGTGCTTTGGCTGAAGGTGAAAATGATGATCGGCCTACGGTCAGAAAAACAACCCTAAGGCTTTGTCTGTGTCGTTGTCAGCCCCCGCCCACTGCCATCACTGGCAGCAGACTTGGGCTTTTGTTGTCGATCTAGAGACCACTGTCGGCCTAAACGTCGTCATCCTTGCCGTCAGCATCGACAACCACCAGCTTTGCAACAAGTTTCGAACAACCAAAAACTACCTACGACTTTGCCCAGCACCTTGTGGCGTACGCGCACACACACAGAGGCACACAGAGCCTCTCTAACCCAACGCAGACTACACCACGTACATGCATGCACGCATACATGCAGAGAGACAACCAAACAACCAAACAACGCGAGAAAAGAGATAAACACATGGGTTATCCGGGACACCTAATATACACACTCACCAATGTTCCTGAGGAGGACTCTATGCACCCACCAAAAACCATAAGTAAAACCCTACTTCATATCACAGCGGAGCAGACTCTGCATGCTGTCGAAGCAGCATTCAACGTGTCCGTGCTGCAGCAGGCAACCGGTTTGTCCGCATTCAGATTGGGGTCCCGTAGATCCCAAACCTGGCAACAGGGCAGGCAATCCCCAGGCTGCTTTCCGGGAATGCTCGCCAACGTATGTTCCTTTATTGTCCTCATCAGTAGCAACGAGACCACAACCGCAGAATGGCAGCAACTTGAACAAGGATAACAACGAATACCAGTGATGGACTGCAATGTCGGAAAATTGCACTGGCCTTGCAGGTGTGATCGAAGGACGCCGTTGCAAAGAGCTGCGGACTCGGGTGTGCAAGCTATCAAAACATGCAACATGCTTCTGCATGCTCAGGTCTAAGTTGTTTCTTTGGCTGAATCTGCATATTTTTATCCGTTCCTACACATATCCATACTGCCAATAACTCATTAAACAGCATTATGCTTCTGTAAGGGCCTGTTTCAGGACTGTGAGATACGGCAGACCATTCCAAAAACGTGCTGCAACACGGCCGGTCTGAGGGACAGCTGGAAAAATGCCTGAGGCTTCTACGTTCGGTGCGAAAAGCCTCAGGTTTCACTGACTTTGGACCAAACCTTCTCAGCCTATTTGAGCGACACGCGCCATGGCAGACTGACAGACGATGCTGCTGAGGGGACAGCGAGATCGTTCAAGAACATCTGTGATGGCGAGCAACCGTGCCAAGAGATTACAGTGGTCCCCTGGGACTCGGCCAAGAGGCGTAGTATATTGATAAAGTTCTGGTGCAAATTTCGGAACGTCTTGATGCGCCGTCCTGCATCATGAATCGTCGAACATGTATCATGCACATGCTGGCGCGTGATTGCAGAGTTTAAGCCATGCAGTTGGGAGCCTGCATTCTTCTCCTGAAGCACACCCAATACACCCAGGTGACGATATGCCATCCGAGCTACTGCATTCAGGAACAATGAGAATCCACGCAACGCCAGGATCTGCCAAGCTGTGGAACCATGCAGACTAGGGGTTGCAGTCTGGAGGTGCGCAACTGCGTCTGTCTGAGCTCTAAGGAAACCAAACTCCATCAAGAACAAAGCAAAAAGATTAAAAGGATTGAATGCTGACTCAGGCTGCCGGTCCGGTGACGACGTCATACAGCCCAACATCAATGCAAAAACCGCTGGTCATGAAGTAGTCATCTGTACCTGCCAATTGTTGCTGCAAGACTGCAGGATAACAAGGGGGCGGCGTGCTCCTGCTCCTCCTCCTCCTCCTCGCCTTGCTTCTCCCTCTGAGCTCCCCCTTGAGCTCCCTCTCTTTTTGACTGTTGCACGATAATGCGAAAACAACCTGTCACTACCTCGACAATAAACTAGCCGGTGCTTATCTCTAGCGACGTCACCACGCGTTGATCTAGAAGCCGGATTGCCGAAATGTTTGAACTGGGGCCTGTGGCCTTGGTCTGGCCATGCATCCTTTCAGGTAGTTCCACAGCCTCATCAGATGTCTGAGTTGCATCTCGCGCGAAGCCATGTAGCAACTCATTCACTGCATGGCGCACAGTTCATGGACAGCGACGACAACTGCTGGAAAGGTTCCAGCTCCACACCTCGCAGGAGTGCTCTCCATTGCCCTAATGATGGACAGGCTACATTGTCATGGACGGAAAGTTCTGAGCAGAACCGCAAACCTGATTTCTTCAGTGCTTGGCTTCAGGATCCTAGGCGACGTAGTACGCTCAGTATAGTAGATCTTGTATGCGGGCTAAACCGCTGCTCACTGACAACCTGGACGGTTAACACGTCAAATATTTAAATAGCAGAACCCCCACTGTTTTCAATCAAAGGCAAAGGTGCCCGCCAATTGCAGTCAAGCTGCTGTGTAGCTTTCCTGGTAGACCCTCATCGTACCGCAGGAAGCGAATGACACCAGACTGAGATCCTCAAGCCGCCGGTGGTGGGGATGTCTTATACTACAGGCTAATGACTTGGTCTGATTCATGTTACTGTAACCAGAGAACACACAGGAGCCTGATCAAAGAAAGGGGCCCAAGCTTGCTTCAGGGCCCAGGCCTCCAACAACTGCCCACTGAGGCAGCGTGTGGAACCATGAGAGTCCCAGAATGGGGAACTGATCAACGACCTCAGCAAGCAGATGTGCAAGGTTAGGAGCGATTTTGTCGCTTTCAAACTGTGATGTACACCATCGAAATTGGCAACTTTCTTCACAATAATGGGAGCGGCAATCAAATTCAAACGCTCTGGGGCGGAAATCTTATCGGGGAAACCATATGTGATGGGATAACGCTTTATCAAAGCACTCGCTTTCTATTTGAGCACGGGCATCGCAAAAACTTCTTCATTGAGGAAGCAGACTGAAACATTGCTACAACAGTTAGCAGCGCAGTATGCAGCAGCAGAAAAAATAAAAGCAGCAGTAGTAATAGCAGCAGAAACAGTAGCAGCAGAGTAGATTGTGGTTGATCTGAAGGCGGCCCATATCTGCATCTTTAGCCATAGCTTGGGATCTTCGACGATGCGTTGTGTTCCCAAGCGCTGGGCACAGCTATGACTCATCACATCTGAGTCGTAGTTGATGATTCCTGCGGTACCTGGTGCACAGCTTCTAGCTTTTGCAGCTTGCTAGATTCTAGCGGCTAGAATGCTTCGTTTGTCTCCCGCAGATGCAAGATTCATTGTGCTGCAGAGAGGGAAGGTGCAATGCTGGGCCTTGCCTTGCCAAGTCCTTTGAGCACTTTCTCATCTTTCTCAACCACAGCTCACTCCAAGCTGCCACTACGAGAGCACCCTTCAAGCCCAAAGAAGCTTGCCACTTGGTCCTGCTTGGCCTAGCTCTCACAAACAATGTGCCCCACCCAACCTCAGCCCAAAGAAAGTGCCTCCTGACCGCATGTGCTTGCGTCTAGCCCAATCTAGAAGTCTCCGGGCTTTGTAGCCAAGTTGCCATCTTTCCTGCCGACCAACATGGTCCCAGGGCGCAAGGGGTGAAACCTTGACAAAGGCTGTGTCACAAGAACACTGCCAACTGAGGAAGTCTGCTAGCAGAACCCCCACAGAGGGTACATGCTGTTCGTGGCATGGCAGAGTCAGAGAATGACCACAGCCAGTCGTGGCACCCACGCAGCCCGAGTGGGCGGCTCGAACTGGCGGGCTCCTCGGCTGGTGAGCAGCAAGCGGCGCGAGTGTGCAACCTGGGCCGGTTCTGAGTTCATTTGTTGGGGACTATGTACCGGCTTAGATCCAACAGTTGGATTTCAAGGCAGCCATGTACTGTGCTGGCTTCGCCTTATTTCCAGCAGCTCTTCCTCAAGCACCCCAACCAGGCTTCCACAACCAAAACAGCCTGGTTCTGTAGCATGCGAATGGGATGAAGTCATCGCCCACCTCGCCGGGCTCCTCCTCCAGCTTGCGCCTATTGCGTCCTGCGGATCCAACATGCTGCTTGTTAAACAGCAACTGGTTTTCTCTTCACATTCAGGTGTGGGTTTCGGTTTCCTGTGAGGAAGTCTGTGGGCCGTTCCAGGACAAAGCAGCTGCACTGACTTTGAATTTGCTTCTGCGCTTGTCTCGTGTTATGAGAGGCGGGCCATTCAGGCTTCACAGTGCCCACTTTGAAAAGCTGCGCAATAAAGAGGAGAACCTTTGCCTGAAACCACGTAGCTTGTCTAAAAGCCGTGCTTGAACACGGCAAGGGCATCCTATATAATTTATATGTGACCTACGCTCGTGTAGCGGCCCATTAACCTGCTGAAGCTTTAGGCAATCACTCCGCCCATGCTGCCAAATGCCAAGCCACGGACTACAGTACTAGCTGCAATGCCACAGCCACAGCAATCACTCCTGAAGACGAAGAGCGACAGTATGTTGACCTAGCAGCTCGCTGTGCTGCTGTCAAGGTGGGAAAGCACAAACCCCTACTGGAGGCTGCGTTGAGGTTGTGAGCAGACATTCCCGCCGCTATTCGCCGCTCTTCGGTGAACAGGCTGGTGTCTTAGAAGCTTCGTCCCACAAATGAGATTTGCTTGCCCTGCTTCTCGTGAGCTAACCTGCCGACCACCCGTGAGAGGGTGCTTACATTGTCATACCAGTAGCACTAGCGAACACTGCCTTGCAGCTTACACCCTCTGAATTGGCGGCCTGGGGGGTATAGGAGCAGGTAGCGCAAGCTCCTGGCAAGAAGGGTTCAATGGATAAGCATGCTCCGACCCGGAGAAGTAGAAATAGCAACGCCCACCTTGCCCAACATCTTGCTCCTAACGGCCGCCAACAGCATCTCATCTCAATCCAGAGATGAAGGTCTACCACACAAATCTGATAATTCCTAGCCAATCCTGACACAGGTATTTTGGGACAGATCAGCATCAATTCAAAGACATGGAACCCTCCTACTGGACCCAGGTCCTCCGCCAACTCTGCAGACAATCGCCACGGCCTAGCTTCAGGGTAGATAGATCTAACATGGCGGTTCTTGAAGGCCCATGCCGTGTGCACCCAACCGGGTTCTGATCACACAGACCTGCTCATGCCTCAATGGAGCCTTGCATTCACCGCTGATCAGACATGGATGAGCCTGATAAAGCAAGCTGCTAACCGCTGACCTATCCCAACGCTCAACCAACCCCTTCCCTGTATCTCAATTACTGTACTTGGCAAAGGCACATGCCACTGGCTCGGGCCTATCTGCTGGCGTTGGCACGGGCCGCTGTGAACAGCGCTGGAGCAAGACCAGTCGCTGGGCCTCCATCAGGTACAGGACTTCACTCGCGCAGCTTCCAAGATCATACAGTCTTGCATACAAAGGCTTCCAAAGGAAGCTGCATGGCAGGGCTTTCACAGCTCTCCGACTCTTTTCCGCTTCTCGTGCCTCCTGCGGCCTCGGCGTTGTGGAGCTTTCCTGTTTCCGGAATTTCACACACAAAGGTAAGGGCTGTCGCCATCTCAACCAGTATGATGATCTTCATGCATCCACCACGAAGGTGTTCGGATTGCACTGTTGCTACACTTCTACTGCGACTGACACAATTACTTCTACTGCTGGTAGTCCTACCACAAGCTACAACAACTACGTCCAACTACTAGTAGTACTGCATGATGACTGCCCCTGCCCACCATGCCCACCAGCGCTACTCGTGCTAGAAATACTGCAGCGGCAGGTCTTGCAGCACCTCGGGGTCTGTCCAGAGTGGCCGTGCTGGCATGCTCAGCAGCCGTACCTGGCCCGTGCCGCGCGTTTCTGCACACAATGAAGTGGTGTTTTCATATCTGGGTGGGGGGTTGTACTGGGTGTTCTCAACAAGGATTTTGGGAGTTGGAGGCCGCGGGCTGGCAAATCCCACGGCGTTTCAGCTCTTATCCTTGATGTGTTCTACATAAAATCTTGACCAACTACAGCTCTTGGACAACGACCAGACACCAAGCATATCCTTGGTGTCAATCGACGCTGTTGTAGGAAAAGAGGAAAGCCTTTGCACCCCACGTGCCTCCCGAAGGAGCAAGCGTTCTGACTGCGTCCATCGCAGGTCCTCCCAAAGGCTTCCATGAGGAAATTCTGCCAGGAAAGTGGGCCTCTGGCGACGGCATTTCCTCTGATATGCATGGGGGCGTTCTCAAAATCATATGTCTCTACTTCGGTCCGTGTAGTTGGGATCATGTCTGGCTCTGATTAATCATAGCCCCTGCGCTCCCCAGATACTGCCAACTGCATGTCTGAACAGTCCATTCAGCTTTCCTGTGTACCTAATGCCGCTGCCATGCCTACGGTGCTTGCGGAATCCCGGTCCCGAAGGAGCGCCAAACCTAGCTCGACGTTGTCAGCAGGTCGCTGCGGGTCCTTGCATGTTCTGGTATTAGTATTAGTATTGTTATTACTAGTATTGCTATTATTATTTGTATTACGACTATGACTATTTTTGAAAACTGAATTCAGCTTTGCAGGGTGCGAGGCTCAGAGCTTTGGGTTCTACTGCCCTGGATGTCTGTCTCACTAGACTTGTGAAGATGACATAACATGAGCTATGATCTAAAATCCCAGTAGCCCCCTGAATGAGCCAAATAATGGTGCCCTATACAATCCCCGATATAACCCGCTCATGATGCAGCCGGCTAGTATTGCTATTTCTCTATTCCTACTGCACTTGACAAAGCCGGCTTCAACGCTGTGACTTCTGCCATCGTGACGGCTCTTC